GCTACTTCTCTTCCCCTCTGGGGGTCTATTCATGTAGGCCCAGCAGAGAATAAACCATACTGAGTTCATTGTATTTTGATTTTTAATTGAAACCATTTGCTGAAATTAAAGGTTAGTGATAACTGGATTTTATAGAAAATGATTACTTTCATAAATATATGATTTTTTTAAACAATTTAATTATGTTGAAAACTAAATAAGTAGAACAGAACACATTAGCATTTTTTGAAGTTTGACCCAGAAAGATTCATTGGCAATGGCCTAAGAGCAAGGTGATAGTTACAGAAAAAGAGCTAGGATTTTAGGGAAATGTTTGAACACCCAGAAAAAATGTAAAGGAACAAGGAGGGTGTAGGCCAGTCAACCTCTCTACGTTTACAATGCTGCTGGAGACCTACTCATAGTGAAATCACAGACTATTGTGTGGATGAAATGCATGACTACTTCAAAAACCTCTTTAGATAGTTCCAGCACTAGTGTTGATCAAAGGACAATTAATATTTTACAGAACAGTAAGTACACTGTATTGATTAGGAGGAGTGGTCCTAAAGCTTGACTGACTCATCTCATGTTCAGATAATAAGTCTGTTAATTGCAGCTCTACAAAATTTTTAAACTTTCCTACTTTCCAGTACCTTGGCTCCTCCTTCATAAAAACAAGGACATGTCAGGTACCTTTCCCACACAGAGCTCTGGACAGGTGTGCGTGGTGGTCTAAACATACAGCATTTAGAAGAGTGTTGGACACACAGTAACTAAGTGTTAACTGTTCTTACACATCTTTGAAAACCTGAAAAATGTGATATAAAAAGATATGACCATTTGTTTGAAAATCACTTTATATTTTTTCATGGAATTAATGCATGCCTTTATTCAATTTTGTATATTATGTCAGGGGAAAATATATGTGCTGTGAAAAGTAATTTTACTGAGGCTTGGCTTTACATTTTATAGTCTAAGAATATTCCTAAGCTTCCTAGAAAACACTAACTTCATTAATATGAGATATATTAGTCCGCTGGCCTTCAGGGATGAATAGGATAAAAGGAATCTCCCAATTGTAAACCACAGGTATTGAAATTAATTAAATAGTGAGCAACTCTGTTACAGCAAGTCAAAATACACTTGTCTATTCAGTATGCATAAAAATTCTTATATAAAATTTTCTACCCAATGTTGTAATTCCCAAACTTATCAAGAAAGCATGTTTCAAAGAGGCATAGAGGACATTGTGTGGGGACCATATTTTTTAAGTGGTTTTATCTCATCGGTATACTTAGCACTTTGAATTTCTCTAGGAGAAAATTTAATAGATGCTCTTGAATCTGATTCAAGATCTGTATTAGTGTCTGGAATCAAAGCCTCTAAGACTGATATATCTCAGAAGAAAATTTTCATAGCACTCCTCTCAAAATGATTTCAGAGTATGTTATTCTAAAGTAAAATTTTTATGAAACTCATTTTTGGGAACAGATTTCTGACTTCCCTTTTCTATATTTAATTGATGGGGACCAATTAAAAGATCTTTGATTTTAGGTTTATTTTAAAACTAGAAAAAAGAAGGCGAGGGCCAGGGATTTAGCTCAGTGGTTCTACCACCTACCTTGAAAAAAAAATAAGGTGAAAATATGTTACTTTTTATATAATGGAGGCTCAGACTCTAGTCTTATTATCATTCTGTAGTTTTCACTCATAGTTAACCCTGAAATAAAAATATAGACTGCAATTAAGTTGATTGTAATTTGCCAAAGTTGACATGACCATTTTTATAATAGACTTACAAAACTAGTACATTATCTTCCAAAGACTGAATGTGCTGAAATTTTATGAACCATATACGTAAGTGTATGTCATTTAATATTAGAATTGCCTATTAATTTGCTACTTTATATTTTCCTTCCTTGTGCAGTTAGATTCAAATCTGATTATAACATTTATTCTCTTTGCAAATTAAATAGAGTAATTACCTCTTTTCTGCAGAAGATATGTTGCAAAACCCACTGTGGATGTTTCAATCCATGGATATTACCAAGATATATATGCTGTTTTTTTCTTATACATTCAAATCTATAATAATGTTTATAAATTAAGCACAATGAAAGTAGCAATAGCCTACCATATATCTTAGCAATGTTTGCATTCAATTTTTTTCTGATCATATTAATTATCTTTCCTGTCATTATAATGAACTACCTGAAACCCATAATTTTGAGGAGTGGCTTATTTTTCAGAAATTTCAGTCCCTGATCAACCAGCTTTCAGGTAAGAACATTATGGGGTAAGGGTATGATGGAGAAAGCTGCTTATTTCATGACGATCTAGAAGCAGAACACCAGGAGATACACTGTCCCAAACCATCATCAGAGGTCCCAATGATGGGCCTCTATGTGGGTTCAACTTCTCCAGCACATTCACCTGTAACCAGACGTGGACTAACCCACTGATAAGTAATCCCATGGGTCAATTACCACCCCAGGACTCTCTTAATCCAGTCCAATTGCCAGATAAGATTAATGGCTGTACTTATTAAGACAGTGTGTTTCACCTTTTTTACATAAAGGAAGCAGAGTACAGCATTGCTGTTTGTGTGCTTTGAAGCCATTATGAAGTAAAGTAATGGTTACCTGAACACACAGCTCAGTACCTTAGTGGTAGATCTGACAAGCCAGAGTGCTACTGAGTGGCAAATAGTCAGGTGGAGAGATTAGAAAGGGATGACTCACATCATCCCTGGCCAGATGGGGCAAGATGGTGCAGGGCTTCATCATGCTACTCAAAACAGCACAATTTAAAACTGATGAATTATTTATTTCTGAAAGTTTCTGTTGAATAGTTTTGAAGCACAATTGGGTGCTTTAGAAAGTGAAATGATGGATATGGGGGAACTGTTGAAAGTAATTAGAAACATCGGATAATTCTTATATTATTACATTTAATTGGTGGCCTTTTACAGACAAATGTGATCCTAGTTTTTTGGTTTTTTTTTAACGTAGCTGATTGGTGTAAAATTTTAAGAATATGAACTGGAAATTTTGTGCTGCACTATGTTCCACTTTCCTCAATTATACAGCATTTTCTTTCTTTAATGCACATGGTAACCAGACAGAAATGGAAGCAACCTAATGGTTTCATTCTATACTGTTAAGTGCAGCACACTTAGGAATGATTTGCTTGAACCTGTAAGAATATTCATTTTCCTGATTACTATGTTTGATTATATAGATATATCACAGATGTTTGAAATTTTGAACATATATTTAGAAACATCTATTTTTGAAAGTATTATTTTAATCCTTTTAAAACAAAATAATACCTTGTGTTTTAAGTGTCTTTTTTTCTGAAGCACTTATGCTGTATACTTTTTGACATCTGTGAAGCAAAAATAATACAATCAAAAATACAAAAAATACAAAAAAAAATTCACTATCAACTTTATATTCATCCAAAACTGACTGATTTGTCCATGCTGATAGGACCATGTCTCTAAGACTCTGATGTGCCTTGTATATTTTTCATTTAAAAGTTTAATCTTTAGTCCTTTCAACAATTTTGTGTCCTGGTATTATTTGGTTGTAACCAATACTGGTCTGTTGATATGCTTCATACATTAGGGTCTTACACTGATTGTCAGGGCCTTGCCCTAAGGTAGTAGTAAATCAAGTGCCGTATCTAAGAGCCAGCGATTGGATGATATGAGCAATAGTAGGACAAGGGAAGGGAAGGAAGATGGGGGCGTAAAAAGTTGAGATATGTTATATACCATGTACCAACTCCCCACAATCAAGTAAATATTGCATACTGCCAATGCGATGAATGCAATCATTATGTACTGCAAATATATACTAATAAAACCTTTAAAATAAGATAAAATAAAAGATTGTTTATTTGAGAACATTTAATGGGTCCTTCATGTAATCATTTCTGAAAGAAAAAAAATATGTGCATAATTGCACTCTAATATGGGTTATTATAAATACAGGGTAATATGCAAGTAATAAACTTCAGTATTTTCAGAGAACAGCAGCAATGGATCACAGTGCTAACATTTAACATCCAAGAACTATTTGAACCACCAAGTCCTCACCCAAGTAACTATGAAACACCAGTTTCTGTGGCAAGAACTAATTTCTAATTTTGTACTCATAACAATGGCACAAGGGAGGTTGTCTAATGATCAGGATGTTCCATTTAAATCATAAATTAAATATTAAGTAATAATTGAATAAACGGTCTTAGATCTATCATATATTTCTTTTCTTTTTTTCTACAAGCATTTTTGTTTAAAAATTACCTGTACCCACAGATCAAATAAAACCCAAGTAAAGGGCTTTAAAGTAACTGCTATGAGCCAGGCATGGTTGTGCACACCTGTATTCCCAGCACTTGGGAGGCTGAGGCAGGAGGATCGCTGTCAATTTGAGACCAGCCTAGGATACACAGTGAGTTCCGGAACAGTCTGAACTACATAGTAAGACCTTGTCTAAAAAAAACCCCAAAATAAATAAATAAATAAATAGCAACTGCTATGATTTTACTGTATTAAGTAGTGTAAAGTACTTATTAAATTGAGCTCATTTCTGAAGGTTTTGATAAAGAATTTCCTATATCATTTAAATATCATTAAATGTCCGAGGCCACCTGTAATGGAAAGACACATTGACACTTTACAAAGATAGCTTTGAGCCAGTTCTAAAAGTCTATTGAAGTAGAGCTAAGATGGCCGTGGGCGATTCTCCATGCCGAGCATCTCTGAATCTCTCCTTTTTGGTCCCTCTTAGCTCGCAAAAGATCTCCTTCACCCCTCTCCAGAGGAGGAGAAGAGGAAGCACAAGAAGAAGTGTCTGGTGCAGAGCCCCAATTCCTACTTCATGGATGTGAAGTGCCCAGGATGCTATAAAATCACCACGGCCTTTAGCCATGCACAGATGGTAGTGCTGTGTGTCGGCTGCTCCACTGTCCTCTGTCAGCCTAAGGAAGGAAAATCCAGGATTATCCCTGTGGGGCCCATAACCCAGGGCACTACTATCTCTGCTTACGTGGCCAAGTCCAGGAAAACATTGCTTGTAAAAGACATCCTTGGGGATGAGATTTTTCCAAGAGGTACTGGACTGGAATCAGAGCTTGCCAATTATCACTGTTATTGGTGATTTGATTGGCATTCTCGAGCTGTACTGGCACTGGGGCAAGGAAGCCTTCTGCCTCAGTCATCAGGAGGTTGCAACAGTAAATCTTGCCTGGGCTTCAGTAGCAATACATCAGGTGCAGGTAGGCAGAGGTCTTGCCAAACAGGCTGAACTGAATGACTTTCTACTAGATGTATCAAAAACATATTTTGATAACATAGTCGCTATAGATTCCCTACTTGAACACATAATGATATATGCAAAAAACCTGGTGAATGCCGATCGTTGTGCACTTTTCCAGGTAGACCATAAGAACAAGGAGTTGTATTCAGACCTTTTTGATATTGGAGAGGAAAAAGAAGGAAAACCCGTCTTTAAGAAGACCAAAGAGATAAGATTTTCCATTAAGAAAGGAATCGCTGGTCAAGTGGCGCCCGAACAGGGACCTGAAAGTTGATGAGGATACATAATCCCGGACCCAGGTCGAAGGCAGCGATGGTGCTCCGGAGGACTGACCACTGCGCCTGATCTTCGCAGTAAGTCTACCGTTCACTTCGTGAAAGAAGGTAGAGGGTGTCAAGTCCGTGGGAAGATTTTAAATTAGAAAGATTTTATAAGTGAGAAATTGTTAATTATGGGACAATCAGAATCCAGAAATTATCTAGCAAATTCAATTCAGAGCCTATTGAAGGCACAAGGAGTAACAGTTGAGAGGGCACAATAGAGGCCTTTGTTAAGATTCTGGACATAGTTTGTCCATGGCTGTGTGATGAGGCAGAAATAAACGCTGAAGTATGGGAGAGAGTTGGAAAACAGTTGAATAAAGCCCTTGTGGCTGAGCCTGCTCATTTTCCAGAAGGTACTCCTTTTTATTGGGCTTTGTTAAACACAGCTCTCAGGACCCCAACCAAAAAGGAAACCTTGGAAGCCTTAGACGAGGTGCATGAAGGGTTAGAACAAATTAGAGAGGAGCACTCTCAGACTTCAGAGCCCCCTGAATCTGGTCCAGAAAAAGACGTTAGAGAATGTCCTCTTTCACTTGAGCCCCCCAAGCCTCCAGATTCCAGAGGACCCCCCACAGCCCTATACCCCAGTTTTGAGGCTTTTCAGAAAACACTTGAGCATCCACCGCCTTCTGCTCTGCCCCCCACTCAGAGGGAGGCAAACCTGGCTCAGTTACATACTATTAATCAGGAGCTCAGTGAGGAACTTCAGCTGAGGCAGCAGATTTCATGCCTCTCGAGTAGAGTTGCGTCTCTTCATGCTTCAGAGGCCAGGCCTACCAATGAGCCTAATGGTAAAGACCTCACAACATCTGAAGGCTCTCAAGGTATAGCATCTCCTTTGCAAGAGGCTCTCAAACACACCGCAGCACAAGGGGAGGAAGTCTTTAGACTATTTCCGGTCGTTCAAGTAGAGGGACCCCAAGGGCCAATTAGAGAACATCACCCTCTTGAGTTTAAATTGGTGAAAGAATTAAAAACTGCTGTAAATCAGTATGGCACTGCAGCTCCTTTCACTTGTGCTATCCTGGACTCCATTGCTGGATCCTGGCTAACACCAAGTGACTGGATTGTGGTCTGCCGCGCAGTTCTTTCAGGGGGAGATTTCCTCCTGTGGAAATCCTATTACTCCGAGCAATGCAAGGCAGCTGCCATCCACAATGCTAATGCCGCAGCTGCCATGGCAAATTGTGACATGCTTATGAGAGAAGGGCTATTCGAAAGCATGCAAGCCCAAATTGGCTATGCACCCCCAGTTGGGGAAGGGGTTTTGCTTGTGTCTTTCCGCAGGATACTGATCAACCGCGGTGGATCCCAGAGCATTTTATCAAACAGATTAACGCAAGCCGTGAAAAGGATCAAAGACAATCCTCCGGTGTTACTTCATGGGATGTTGTTACAGACTCTGTTAATCCCTTGAAGATGAAGATTGTGAAGGCTCCTCCTAAGAGCTAATTCTTCCTGCCCTTCCATGGGCTATTGCTCAGATATGGGGGATTGGCTGTATTGACTTGTTTTAGTTAGATAAATTGGCCAAATGGAAAATATCAATAGAGGCTCGTGTTGTGTTCACTCTTTCAGAATTCTCTACATAATGGATTACAGTCAAGAAGAGTACTCATTCCCTTAACCCTAATTCTACAAGAGATCTCTGTTAATTTTGATCTGCAAAAATTTTGACTAGTCATAACAAAAAGAATTTATAGTTCAATTGGCCAAAACCATCTGAGTGCACTCGTTAAAGTTGTCTTATATGCTTGTCTGTCTTAAATGTTCAAAGATGTTTGTATATTTTTGATCAGAATGACATCAAATGCAAGTGGATTGTTGATTTCTACAACCTGGCTTTATAGGATCAAATAAAAAATTTAAAAAATAATTAAATATAACCTTTAAGTTTGGATACGCTCTTGTTGGTAAATAAAGAAGCAGCTGCTCAGAAAATTTATTCTGATCTTTGTTCACTAATGGGAGCCACCAAAATAATTTTCATAGCCATATAAAAAGATATGCTTTGTTAAAAATGTTTTTAAAAATGTTTAATTGGTTATCATCAAAGGTCTGAATTATAAATATGTTATTGTAGCATGTTTCTGATGGTTATCTTTGCCATGAGCCACGAGGCCAGGATCCTGCCAGCAGGTCCTAAACCTGAAAGGACGAGGACAGAGAGATGGGAGGCACTTTTCTTCTCATGGTACTTGCTGCACTGCTTTATTACCGAACCTCTCCTTTTATACTCTCCAGCTGCCAGATGCAAGAGAGTGCCACCCACACATTCCGGAAGAAAACCGTTAAACCGTTACATTTTCTAGGCAACAGATCAGACCATCAGTTGAACTAGCCCATTACTATGGGCGATGACCCGTCCACACTGCTCGGGTGAATCACAGGTCAATATGGCTGTGCTCTCCATATATCTTCAAAATGTAGTATTTTCTGTTAAAAAAAAAAAAGAAAGGGGGGAGGATCCTGTTAATACAAAGCTACATTACAGGATGTAAGAATTCATATTATTGCTACTTTTCTGGTATACAAAAGTATTCATACTGTTTGACCATGCCGGTTTTCCAGCATATTGTTTATGATAATATCCCTGAACAGCTTGAAGCTGGGTTTCCGCTGAGGAGACTGGATTGGGACCCCAACACTGAAGCAGCAAAGAAAATTCCAGGATGTGTCTTGGTGCACAAGTGGAAACTTTATTATCCAGAACAAGGATTTAATGGGACTGGTGATTTAATGAGATATCTCAAAAGTTTTTAGACTGGTCACTTGAATATTCCATGGACTTAAGCTTGTCTGTAGGACTTTGGTAAACAGATTCACGTTTTCCTCAAACCAACATTTCAGTACTACTGCTAAACAGTATTTTTCTGTAATATTCACTCCTGTATTGATGATCATTGTAACTCTTTGTATTTGTAATTATTATATGTATAGCAAGACGACAAGAATGTATCAATCTTTTGTTTCATCATGAACAACTTGCTATGGCTGTACAAGCTTCAGTAAAGGATGATGCATCCTGGGTGGCCATTTATTTGGCACAAGCCCGCCGTACATAATTCCCTCTCTGTGGAGTATCCAGAGACGGGTAAGGTCAGGGCATCTTTTCTACCAACCTAAGACAGGCAAGAGGGCCATAAGCCCTGTTCGCTGATGACAAGAAAGGAGAAAGGACATCCCTGCCACCTAAGACAGGAGCTCATTGGCATATATCTGGCGCCCTCTGCAGAGGCTCACTGACATAAGAGAAATGGGGGAATTATGGAGAGCATTGTAAAAAGAGCGTGACATGAGCACAGCCATATTGACCTGTGATTCACCCGAGCAGTGTGGACGTGCCATCGCCCATAGTAATGGGCTAGTTCAACTGATGGTCTGACCTGTTGCCTAGAAAATTTAACGGTTTAATGGTTTTCTTCTGGAATGTGTGGGCAGCACTCTCTTGCAGCTGGCAGCTGGAGAGTATAAAAGGAGAGGTTCAGTAATAAAGCAGTGCAGTAGTGCCATGAGAAGAAAAGTGCCTCCCGTCTCTCTGTCCTCATCCTTTCAGGTTTAGGACCTGCTGGCAGGATCCTGACATCGTGGCTCGCTACAAGCAACTGCTATGATTTTACTGTATTAAGTAGTGTAAAGTACTTATTAAATTGAGCTCATTTCTGAAGGTTTTGATAAAGAATTTGCTATATCATTAAATATCATTAAATGTCCAAGGCAACCTGTAATGGAAATACACATTGACAGTTTACAAAGATAGTTAGCTTTGAGCCAGTTCTAAAAGTCTATTGAAGTAGAAATCGTAGAACAAACTATTTGTGTTATTTCATGATAAATAAATGCAAAGGGTCCCACTGGAAAGACATTATGAAAGCTTACCTGGAAAGGAACATCTGTTCATTGTGGAGTTGTTTTCATTACTACATTTAATAAATTTATAATCCCTAAATGAATTAAAAAGAACATGAGATACTTTTGTATACAGTTTGGATTCATTCATCTTCATGTCCTTCTGTGGCCCTTGGTCAGGAGCTGGATGATCTGGGGAATTATCTAGTGGTAGGGAGAAAGGAAAGGAAATTAAAAGGGAAGAGGTGATGGAAGATAAGATTAAAAAAAAGAGGGAGAAGAAGTATTCATAAGCAGTTTAAATACAAGGAGTGTTTGAAGAAAATAACTTTATACACATTGTTAGAGTACCAAATGCCATTTTATTTCATGAATCTTTATTGCTTATGCACAATGGATTCTAAAAATACTCCAACTCCATGGATACTTATTTTAACACCCAGCTGATTCTTTGATGTAGGCTCCATGTGGCCTTTTAGTCACATTAATGCTCAAAACTTCCATTCAAACTTGAATACTTGGAAATGTCTTAGATTTCCTAGGTTCACATTTTGGTTTTGTCTAATAATTCAGTTTGACAAAGTGAGGACCACAGATACAATGCCCAATATAAATGTCATTGTTCATCATTAAAATGTCTCTCCAAAATTCAGAAGGTAAAAATAACTTGCAGTATATATTTGACAGAGATTGTTCAAGTGATTCATATTGTACTTTCCCAAATAGAATGATTCTGAGACAGTATAAGAATGTGCTTACCTGGCAACTGTCTTGTTTCTACTCTTTTTTCTGTAACATAAGAATATATGATTTTCTTACATTTTCATGAGAGAATATCTTTATTTTGTTATCCTGTTTCTGTTGTGCATAGCCAGTGATGTTGGTTATAATTTCCAAATACTGAGAACTGATACCTTTGGGGCCCCAGGATTCAGCTCTCAGGAATAAACCAACATTACAAGACTGTAAAATTTGTTCCGAGGAATTCTTACTCAGAAAAATGATGCTGTAAAGAAATATATAACTGTAATGTTTGTTTCTAGAACTCCAAAGATAACTCACTTAACCCACCAGTAAAGTTTTCATACAACCCCTTTCTTGA